TAGCTAATTTATCTCAAGCTGAGGAGGCTGTTTGTCAGGGAGCTACCTTCATCACTCACCTCTTCAATGCCATGTTACCTGTGAGTAGTACCTAGGCAAGTTTCCACTTCCAGAATCTTAACCAACTGGTTGTAAGTTACTTTTTGGGGAGTGAATTAACTCCTGGGGTTTGGAAAACCCACTTTCCCACATAATTGTGATTCCTCCTCTTAGGAGCCCCTCCTAGATTGTGTGGTCCAGCCAAGAAATGGAAGAGTAGATTTTGTAGTCCTTGTTCCTAACCCGTGGACTTAACTGCCTTGCGTCCTGACATTTCTTCTGCAGTTCCACCACCGAGACCCCGGGATTGTGGGACTTCTCACAAGTGACAAGGTTCCTTCTGGTCAGCAAGTGTTTTACGGCATGATCTCAGACGGGATCCACACGAATCCTGCTGCGCTGAGAATCGCACACCGGGCCCATCCTCAAGGTCTGTCTCCACAAGCGGTAGGGGCAATTCCCCTGAGATGAGAAGGGGCATTTTTTTAGTTAGTTAGTTTGGCCCAATAACGTCTGTGGATATTGGGAGGGCTTTGATAGAGAGAATATGATTCAGTTCACTCAAAGTAAGTCATGGTTTGTTTTAATGTTGGTTTGAAGACACCTCCGTGATCATGTTTATATATCCTGACAAGCTGCAAATGGCCGAGTCCCTTCATTGGGGTACCTGAAAACTGAACTAACCATAAGAGCCTGGGTGGCACAGTGGTTAGAGTGCAGTACTGCAGGCTACTTCTGCTGACTGCCTGCAATTTTGCAGTTCGAATCTCACCAGGCTCAAGTTTGACTCAGCCTTCCATTCTTCCAAGGTGGGTAAAATGAGGACCCAGATTGTTGGGGGCAAGAGGCTGACTCTGTAAACCGCTTAGAGAGGACTGTAAAATACTGTGAAGTGATATATAAGTCTAAGGGCTATTGCTATTGCTCTTCCTTTTCTCCTTCCTTTCCTTCTTTCCCTCCCTCCCTCCTTCCTTCCTTCTTTCGCTGGTGCACAGTGGTTAGAAGGCAGTACTGCAGGCTACTTCTGCTGCCTGCCGGCTGCCTAAAATTTAACAGTTCAAATCCCACCAGGCTCAAGGTTGACTCAGCCTTCCATCCTTCCAAGGTGGGTAAAATGAGGACCCAGATTGTTGGGGGCAAGAGGCTGACTCTGTACGCTGTTTAGAGAGGACTGTGAAGTGTTATTGTTATATGTTGCAACACTGAAGTTATTTTCTGGTGGAATTAACAGGCTTAAATTATCCCTCCTTAGGTCTGATCCTGGTGACAGATGCCATCCCAGCAATGGGGCTTCCTCCTGGCAGACACACTCTGGGCCAGCTGGTGGTAGAGGTAGAAGGTGCAAATTCCTACATTGCAGGTAAGGGCACTCCTAGGCTGAAATCTCAATTAGCCACTCAAACAGGTGGGCTGATTTTTTTTTCCCCCCAAGACCCAGACGGTCTTTGCAAACCCGTGAGATGGACTACAGTTCCCAGCATCCCCTATGCAAGTGTATTTGCATGTAAAGCTGATCATCTTTCTCCTCCTCTTCCTCCTCCCCCTCCTCCCCTTTTCAGGTACCAAAACATTGAGTGGAAGCATCTCCACCATGGACACCTGTATCCGACATTTCACGGATGCCACTGGTAAGGAGTGTCTGGCTTACTAGGACAAAGAGTTGCCATGTCCCGGGGAGCCAGATCTGCTGGGGATTCATTTGTAAACGCCCCCAAAGGGTGGCCCTCACAATGACTCAGTATTGGGCATGAAAGATGAGGTCCACAAGTAGAGGTTCAATTCCCACAAGGGAATTAATTCCCTGGCTGGGGAATTCTGAAATTTGAAGTGCACACATTTTCAAATTCTCATGGTTGAGAAACACCGGCGTAGAGACATAGTCAGTCACAGATTCTCCTGTCCATTCAGGAGGGGTATAGAATGGACAAGGGCTTTGTTGTCAAAGTGAAGAACCATTTGCCTTTGTGGATTCTGACTAAAAAGCAACCCCCATTTCTATTTTGCAGCCTGTTCATTAGAAACAGCCCTGGAGGCTGCCTCTCTCCATCCTGCTCAGCTCTTAAATATCGAGGATCAAAAGGGAACCTTGGATTATGATACCGACGCAGGTATTTTTACTCTTGTAAGGATTGAATTTGGATCGCCCTGTTTCCAGCTCAACATGGAATCCATTGAGAATCCTGTCACATAGACTGAGCTGAAAACAAGAGGCTGGGCTAAAACCTCCCAGATAATTCAATTGGATCTCATTCTCCTCGATCCTGGTCCAGCAACACCACTACTTCAGAGGTTCTGGATGGTGGGAATCCAAACCACGAATCTCTTATCTTCTTGTTCTATCTTCCACCCTTTAGATGTTAGGTGTGCCTGTGGTATTCATGGAATTCTCTCCTTGGAGACATCCATCTGCCTCATCCTTCTCTGCTGAATGAAGGATTATGGGAGGTGTAGGTTAACCGATTGTGTGAATTTCAGTTGGGGTTGGCTGAAAGAGTTATGCCCATCTCTCCTATATTGTTAGCGCCTGAATGAGTCGGGTAACAACTCCTCAAATTCCTATCAACCAGGCTTGGGGTGGGAGGCATCATTTTCTTCTTCCTACAGATTTTGTGCTGCTGGATGAGAGACTCCGTGTACAGGCCACTTATATTGCCGGCGAAGAGGTCTGGAGACAAGACCACTTCATCATCTGAAGTTGTGCAGAGCTGGATAGGCAGAGCTTCGGACCAAAGGAAGAGGGGGACTCAGAGTGGCCCACAGCTCCGTTTCCCCCCTAAAGCCTTCTGGTTTGCCTCATTTTTCTCCACAGACTCTCTTCGAAAAGTCCTGCTCAAACTGTAGCACTGGCTGCCTTCCTTCCTATGGAGGATGGTAGAACTTTTCTTCTCGACTTGATCCAGGTAGCTGTCCCACAGACATGAGGTGGGACTCCTTCCAGAACTTGACAGGGGCTTTCCTCACTATTCATCAAGAAACTTACTGGTACTGGGGAACAGCAGCCATTTTTCCCCCCAGAGTGCCTCATTCTTTTGTCTTGCAACGCAACCTCTTGAATATTTGAATGATGCTTTGGGAAGGGGGTCATCTGCTTTGATCCCATGTAAAGCCAACTCTATACAGCACTGTTACAGCTGACTATATTTGTCTAAGCTGAAAATCTGGGGTGACATTAAACCCAAGGCAAAATGTGCTGCATCCTGCAAAAATCATTTGTTTTGACAGCCTGGGAGCCATTTCTGACCACAATTGCTGAAATCTGTAGAATGTTTTTATTTCATTTTGAACTTGAAAGGTTGAGAATATAGAATAATAACAGAGTTGGAAGGAACTTTGGAGGTCTTCTAGTCCAACCTTCTGCTCAAGCAGAAGACCTTATACTAGTCCGGACAAATTAATGAACACGTTAAAATAAGTTCAATATTTTTTAAAGCCTCCCAAATTCCACCCAAAAGAAATACATACATACATACATACATACATACATACATACATACATACATACATACATAGATAAATCCCCTTTTACAACCCTGAAATCCTTTAATTTGGGGTAAAGTTGGGATGGTTAGATAGAGCTGAGCATTTACTGGCCGAATGCCCTTCCTGATTACACAACCTAGGAGAGAAATATCTGTTGCTACCAAGGATTGAGGCGAGAAATCAACAATGGCAATAAGCTTTTTAAGGGTATAATAATTTTAGATGGTGAGATTCATTGATTTGAACAAAGATTTTTGACATCTGGAGGCCATATTTACCTATAAACTCTAAAGCTATATTTCAGTTAAAAGGTTTGTGGAAATAAAAGTTAATATTTTTCCTGTCTAAGATTAAGAACCTTCTGAAATATACCCATAGACATCCAAAGGTTCATTGGCCCCCAGGTTAACCATTCCTTTAAGAGCACACAGTATTTGGAGAAGGAAGATTCTATCAGCAAATGACCTCGGTTCGCGCAATATTCCTAGCTATGAACACACTGGCCATGCTTCACGCTGCACGTTGAGTCAAACGTATGGATGCCAACATTGTTTACTTCATTCTCCTGCAAGTCGATGGATCACAACACCTATGATCATTCAATAGCACTGTTGGCTAGGAATGATGGGAGATGTGGTCCAACCCAATTTTTCACAAAGAAGGCCATATTAAAAGGCGGGAAATCAGTGCTGTTCCTTTTACAAAATGGAATTTTTGGCTTCATGACATGCCGTGTTTTTTTTTCTTTTTGCCATGCTGTGAATTTAGATTTTCAGCCATTGCAATTCCAGTCAAGAACCAATTTTATCTGATTCTTTTAATTTTGGAAATTTTTCTTAAAAGCATATATTTTATAAAGAGAAATAAAATGTTCAATCCACAACCAATGTTTCTCCAACAGAGGGAGGCTGTGGGTGAATGTTCACTTTCACTAAATCTATTTGCTGGGGTGATTTTGGCTGATTAGTGCCATCAAGTAATTTTTAACTCCTAGCGACCGCAGAGGTAGATTTTCTACAAGATGAACAGTGTCTAACGTGGTCCTTCAGATCTTCCAATAATGCCTAATCCCTAACTGAGTTCACCCCCCTTACTGCTGATTATTTCCTCCCACCTTTCCCAACATTAGAGAAAAAAAGAAAGAAAAACCACCACTGGATCATTGAATGCAAAAATCTACCCTTTCAACAAGTTAAGAAAAAAATGACTGGTATGCAAGAACCAATTCTCCAGATATTTGGGCAGCTTAAGAAAACATTCCCAGACTCTCTAGAATAGGGGTCCCCAAACGTGGCAACTTTAAGACTTATGGACTTCAATTCATAGCTGACTGGAATTATGGGAGTTGAAGTCCACAAGTCTTAAAGTTGCCACGTTTGGAGACCTCTGCTCTGGAAGAATAGGAATAGTAGTCCAAAGCCCCCTATTGCAAGTCTTTACAGACAGATCCAGTTCTTTTGGGTGGGAGAAAAACGACTCCCCAGCCAATCGGAGGGAGGAACGACTTCCGGGCGGAACTGAATTCCCCGAACTCCGGAGCGACGGGGGAAGCAGTCCAGCGACGGAAGGGGCCCGCGTTGCGCGTGTTTTTGGTGGGATCTCAATGGAGTAACTTACTATTAAGTGCAAGAAACTGGACTTCGGTCTCAGTGCTGTCTTTCAGAGTGGATTGATCCGGATTGCAGTGAGGGTGGAGGAATCTATGTAAATTTAAGGGGAGAGGGGGAACGGAGCGCGGCCTGGTCGGGCATGAAATCTGGAGTCGGGAAGCCTCTGAGTGCTTTTAATTTCAGTTTCCAATAAATGCAGATTATTAAGAGCTCGACAGGCCGGTCGGGCTATTAATAATCTGCATTTATTGGAAACTGAAATTAAAAGGCTGCTTTAGGGCAACAGATGCACGATTTGAGATTAGGTTTATATTAGCAAGCCACTAATGTTTTACTTCTCCGTCCTCCTTCGGTCTGTCTTGACTTTCTACTAACTCCTCCTCCTCTTACTACTACTGCTATTTTGTTGTTGTTGTTATTATTATTATTATTATTATTATTATTAGTGATTAGGAATTCTCTTTGCAAACTCTGGTTAATTTTAAAGTGGAATACTTTCTGTTTGCATTTTTAGAGACCTGAAATAGAACTGGAAATAGAGGTATGGCATTGCCCCAGAGCAAAATGTATTTTTGTTGAGAATAAGTTCTGTTATCTTGCAAAAAAAAAAAAAAGTATGTATATGTAATTTATTGTTAATAATCAAATTTACAGACCAGTCATGTCACAGACTCTGGGCAGCATACAATTAAAAACATAAATACTGTACACAAAACCATATTAAAATTAGATTTTTATATATTTATAAATAAATTTATATATGTAGATTTAAATATATTTTAGTTAATTCAAGGCTGCTATTTTTTCCAGTACAACAACCCTTTGAGGTGATTTGGCCCAAAATCATCCAGCTGGGTTTTTATGCCTAAGGCAGCTTTCTGGGAGTTGAAGTCCACAAGTCTTAAACTTGCCAAGTTTGAAGATCCTTGACCTAAGGCATGACTAGACCTAAGGCATGACTCTTGGTTTCTAGGCCAGGACCTTCCCCACTGTACCAAACTGACTCTTGAAATTCTTGATATTCTAAATAAACAGTATCTGGGACCAGGTAGATTCCTTTGTTTCTTACTGCTTGTTTTCTGCTGTTTCAATGATTTGATGCTCTCAGTAGAGCCATTCTGTAGCCTTCTGTCATTTCTTTGTTTATAATTTGGTTTGGTTTGATGCCACTTGACTCCAATGACTCTGGGCAGTTCACAATACACTAAAAATTATAAATATATACATAGTTCAGATCTTGTATGCCAATGAAGTGGGCTGTTTATGAGAAAACAAATTTTAACGAATTCTTGATCTGAATACATGAGAGTTTTAATATTTTAGACATAATATATTGCAATGTTATTACTAACATAAAGGAAAAATAGAATGGAAAAAATCTTCAAAGAAGAGAACTTTGTAAAGCTATCCACACAATATAGAAAATGTCATTCCTACAAATGCTTATCAGTTATGTAGCATACATAGTTGGGCCTTTCGAAAAAAAGATTTCATGATAATGTTCTTGTGTCACCTTGTATTACTAGGTGAACGGGAGAGAAAGTATCTGGAGATTTTATGTGAACAATTGTAAACTTTCTTAATGGAAGAGGTAAGGTGTGTGTTTCTTATGGCAACAGATGTGGCAAACTGCTTTGATTTGCTTAAGATTAAAGTAGTCTAAATGCTCAGAAATAGCTAACTGTCAAAGTCCTGCAATTTTAATTACTGTGTAGCACAGGGAATATTAGCAAGCACAGCAATTTTGCCACAACCAACACTACTGGGATTTAAAGGTTATTTAGGTTTTGCACACAGGCATGTGCAAACCACCTTTTAAAAAACATCGGCCCTTAATGCTTGTACATTTCCCATTGATCCAGGCTCCCAAACCAACATTTCAGGATGAATTGGAATGGTGCATCACTCAACTGGAGACTGGCCTATTGCGTCTTAACCCAACTCCAAAACAAGGTGAGTTATAAATAATAAAACCTCTTCTAGTGGATCCATTTGAAACACTGCAGTGTTTCTGAACCTCACCATTTCTAAGATATGTGACTTCAACACCCAGAATTCTCTACCTAGTATGCTGACTGGGGAATTCTGGGAGTTGAAGTCCACACATAAGTTGCTGAGGTTGGGAAACCCTGCTGTAGATCACAGGCACATGAAAATAATGCCGGTTTCTGGCAAAAACTGTAAATTATGGTCCCATGACAATGGGGCATTGCAAATGGCTGTAAGTGCGGATTGGTTGCCAAGTGTCCAAAATGCAATTAAATGACCACAAGGGGGATAGCCATTGGAACTTCAAAGTTGGGGTTGTAATTCACTCTGAGGAGGTCTGTCGTAACTTCAAACAGTTGCTAAGTGACTGGTCATAATTCAAGGACTACTTGTAATGCCAGATTTTCATGAGTAACTTTTACATTCTTTATCTCCGAGAGCAGCCGATGAAACACGCCACATCCTTAAAGTATTGCGCTCCCGTAAAGCTCCCCTTGTGAAAAAGCGGCAAATGATGCGCCATGTCTTTGGAGATTACCGTCTCAAAATGGCTGAAGAAAACGAGAGAACAGCCAAAGCTGGTGAGCAGGCAGGTCTTGCCTTTTGTGTCGGTCACTCACTCATGCTACTTCTCCCAATTCTTTCATCCATGTGTAGAGAGATTCTCAGTCATTCAGGTCATGGTTGTCCCAAAGGTGCTTTTTTCTGGAGACAACTGGACTTTCTTTTTCTTTTGAAGAGGTTTTGCTTCTCATCCAAGAAGCTTCTTCAGCTCTGACTGGATGGTGGGGAATGGAAGGATTTATATTCCTTGCAGACAGCTAGTCATTTGCATTCTTTTAGAGAGCCCTTGAGGCCACTTGGAGGTTTATCTGTAGAGTCTGTGTCTTTTGGTTCTTTCCTGCTATAGCCACCACCTGAATGGGTTTGTCATGGCTTCCGCATGCCAATGATCCTTCCCTTAAAAAAAAGATATTGCTTTCGTTTGCTCTCCTTCCTTCTTTTTAATCTGGTGTGCTGTGAGGGCAGATAAAGTTTGCTTTGGCTTGAGGACGGATCACTCGTACAGGATATCTGCAGGTAGAAGGTGGGGTTGTCTGAAAGTTGCTCACCTTTATCCTAGATCCAAGCAACATTGTCCCTAACCAAGACCCCAAGTTATAGAATGAAAAGCCCACATACCAAGACACTGTCATCCAATTTATCATGCTATTTAGAAGCCGCTAGCAGCTGTTGCCTAGTCAGCTGGAGTAGCCTTCTGTAACTTGAGGCCTTCCCCACATTATGATTTACCGCTTTCATTTTTGCTGCCTGTGACCATGCTGGCAAGTGATGAGGAATCTTAAGCTCCACAACTGGAAATGCACCAGCTCAGACAAGATTAAGCCAAGGGGGCCAACTGCAAAAGACGAGTGTAGAACCCCGTTCCTTTAATGGACACTGGGGAGCAAAGAGGGTTAATGGTAAGACTGCTGGAAAAAAAAAAATGGGTGGAAATTGCTTCAGCCAAAGTGAGCCCTTCGGTTTTTCTTTTGATGAAATAGCCATCCTGCACTTGCCTTAACTGACACCCAGTCCTGTCTTCTCTGAGATCCAGCCACCAGCCTAGCAGCTAGGGATGTGGCCAAAAGAAATGGAGGCGGTCAGCTCACGTGAACAGAACAGACAGATAAGGAACCAGAGGAGGAAAATTCTGCAAAAGCTTCAGGCACTGACAGTCTGGAAGGACTGTACTCCTTTCTGTTTCTTCTGTCGGCTGAAGCCTCGGGATGCTTGTTTTTGCTCCTGCTAAAAATCTGAGTTTGATCTCCCAGTAGAGAAGAAGGGAAATACAGGTAGATATCGTAATGGAGCTCGTTGTCATGCTAGGTACCTAAAATTCAGTCATATGACTGTGGAGGTGGCCCAACCGTTATAAATCTAGGTCATAAAGTTCCCTTTTTTGGGTCTGTCGTAACTTTGAACGATCACTAAGCGACCAGTCGTAAATCAAGGACTACCTGTAGCCAACTCATCAATCAACTGGGAAGAGATGAAGCCATTATTAGGAGGCTGTTACAAAGGCAGCTTCTCCTCTACAGTATACATCTAAAAAGGCTTGGGGACCTTTTTAATCTCGAGCCAAATTCCACAACATTCAGTTTATGTTTCATGTACTATGTATGACATATGTTGTTTTTATTTGTGTAAAGATTGTGTAATTTGGTGCTTTGGGTTGAGCATGCTTTGGTGATTTAATGGGAGTGTCCCATGTTTCTGTTTCTGACCTGTAGGTGTGATGCCCATGCAGGTAGAAATGCAACAAGGAAACAGCCTTCCTTCGGGCAGCATGATGTATAGGAAGCAGCAATCCGGCAGTCCTTCTGAAGTGTCGACTTCCTTGCTTGCATCCTCAGGTAACAGCTTTCAATTTAACTTTGTCCTACCTGAAGGAACCACAGAAGAAACGGATAGAACCACAGCAGAAGAGCATGGATTGGGTGACTCCAGGCAACAGTCTACCGGTAACGATCTCTCTAGGATGCTGGACTTCTCCACTGGAACACAGCAGCCTGGCTTTGCTTTCAACTTCACCATCCCAGATGCTTCCTCACCTTCAGGGGATGCCATAGATCCTGGCTGTGGAGCTTCAGCAGAAACAGCTCCAGAGAGCTGTTTCATCTCATCCAAGAAAGCTGTGGTGACAACAGCCTCTCCACGCTCTGATAGAACTGACGCGAAGGATTGTGTAAGCAGACACAGAGAAGAACATCCTCTGCAAGAGGCACCAAGATTGGAAGCCACCCAAGTAGGTATGGGGACCACTAAGTTTTAATTGAGCCTTGGAAAGAAATATGTACTTATTGATCTTATGTAAGTTGGCAACTAATTCCAGTACTAACTCAATTATAAGTAGTGCTGGCTTCTATCTCTATAATAATAGAGTTTATTATAGATAGTCTTCATTTAATTATGGTATTTGAGGCCAGGATTCCACTGCTAAGCAATACTGTACAACATCACATGACCACACTGGCTTACGACAGCAGTTTGTGGCAGTCCCCATCGCTGTTGTTGGGGGAATCCTTTGCAATCACAACATGTTGTGGGCGCATCATCCCCATTTGCTTCCCCGTTGACTTTGCTTATTCGAAGCCTGCAGCAAAGATCACAAATGGTGATCACATTACCACAGAATGTGGTGACGTCATAATTGTGAGCCGATTGCCAAGCGCCCACATCGTGATCATGGAGGTGCTGTGAGGGCTGCAACTATGAGGTCCTATCCTAAGAGCCGTGGTGGCGCAGTGGTTAGAATGCAGTACTGCAGGCTGTTTCTGCTGATTGCCGACGGCCTGCAATTTGGCAGTTCGAATCTCACCAGGCTCAAGGTTGACTCAGCCTTCCATCCTTCCGGGGTAGATAAAATGAGGACCCAGATTGTTGGGGGCAAGAGGCAGACTCTAAACCGCTTGGAGAGGGTTGTAAAGCACTGCAAAGCAATATATAAATCTAAGTGCTATTGCTGTTGCTTAGTTCAGCACCGTCATAATTTGTTGAGCGAGTGGACACTCAATTAGGACTACCTGTAATGTATTAATTATACAATAACTGTACAGAATAAAAGATACTTATTTCCCTTGGGAAACAATTTTCAGGTAAGTGAAAGAGATGCAAAGGAATATAAATCTAATGTTATCGATTAAAAATAGCAACTGATTAATTTTTTTAAAAAAAATCGTTGGCACACAGCTTCAACAGAGGCTGCAGAAGAGAAATTGGTTGTGGCAGCTGGTGGACCATCGAAGAGAAAAAAGAAAAAGAAACCCCCACCGTCAAAAGTAGCACAGGTTGACCAAGGATGTGGAGACAACAAGCTTGGTGGTCAAGGAACATCTGAACCAGCTGAGATGTTACAGGCATGTAAAGACCAAGTTGAACGTGAGATAAGACAAGGAGTGAGTTAAGGACTGATAGTTTTTTTAAAATTCATTGACAAAAAATTATAGACTGTAGTAATCAATGATGCAGAACTATTCATATTAAGCCTCTACAGTAATTTATCAATATAGATAGTCCTCAACTTACAACCACAATTGAGTTGTTGAGGCATATATTTTTTTCAGTACCATTGTAACTTTAGTCACTAAACGAACTGTTGTCAGTCGAGGACTACCTGTAGCTCAGTCAAGATGGAAAGTTAAGGTGCCACTATGGTTGCATTTCAAAGCAGCTTGCTTGAAGGACTTCAGATCTTCCAGGGTGGATGCTGTCCCTTTTTCCCTGTTTGAATGCAGTGTTTGGCATTGGCCACAACCCTCCTGTAGTTTCTTTGGTTTTAGAAGAACGGGTTGTGTGAACTCATTGTGAGTTACAAACCAAGGTTTAAGTTTTAGGTTTCCGCATGCAGTTTGAACCCAGAGGTAGGTTGACACAATTATTAGGGCATCCGTCGGAACCCTGACAACAATGCAGTTAAAAAAACCGATGGTTTAGCATGATGACTGAACCAGGTCAGTACCCCTCGCCGCTTAAACTGAAATGCATCTAGCAAAGCAAGAGAGGCTGGCTGGGGGAATTCTGGGAGTTGAAGTCGTCCAACATCTTAAATTTGCTACGGTTGTGTTGTGGTTCGCCGTCAGCCTGCGGAGACGGCAGCGGAATCGGACAGTGGGAAAAAACGGGGACCAGTCAGGGTGTCTGGAGAGGATTCGGACGAGGGTCCTGCGTCCGATGCAGAGATGGGGCCAGGACCATCTGGGAGTGGGGTGCTGACTCCGGAGCCTTCAGAGTCTGGCAGCAGCGAGGCCGAGGACCCAGGGGAGCCTGTTCCCAGTGCACATGTGCACAGAGCTGCTAGAAGGCGAGAGCAGCTGAAACAAAAGGGGCAACTTGGGAGTAAGGCTGGGAGGTGATTGCCCCTCCCCTAAGATATAAAGGACAGGCAAAAATGACTAAACCTTTGCAGGAAGCAAAGTCGTTCGGTTCAGATTCATTCTTGAAGCTCTTTGTACTTTGGTTGGTTTTTTTCCTAGTTCATTTGACACTTCTGTTATTGGCAGCACTTCACAGAAAAGAAAGGTGGGTGCTTATCTCGAGGGACTGTTTGAGATTCATTACTGGCTGGGAATGAAAATAATTCCCAACATTGCAATAAAACAAGACTTGTTTTTAAAATAAGTGTGTGCATAATTACGGTCTTGGAAGCCTTGGTCAGAACAGGTTGAGAACCACTGAGTTAGAGAACTCTTGTGAGATAACTTGGAGAAGAAAGGTGCTAGAAGTAGTTAGCTTGCAGTGTCAGGCTCAACTAATTCTCATTTTCCCTCCCCCTGAATTTTAACAGGCAGATGATCAGTTGAAGAGAGAGGTAGACTGGTGTGTGGAACAGCTGGAACTCGGCCTGAAGACTCAAAAATCCACACCAAAACAAAGTGAGTGAGCTTGCTTGAAATCAATCGTTTGCTTATTTATTACATTCAACTTAGGCCTCACCCCTCTCCAACTCCCAACTAACTCTGAGCAGGTCGCAATATATTAACCTAAAAAAAAGAAAAATCCAATAGAAGCCAAAACAAGATGGGGTCCGATAAATCTATGCAGATGGACACAGAAATAACAAGGACCACACCCAACAAGGACCACACCCAACATCTCAACAAACAAGTCTTCATGATTTTATGGACCTCCTACTGGTTGGGGGGACACATGAACTTCAAGGCTGCAATTATCAAAAGTTTGTGCTAGACAGTGATTCTCCATAACAAAGAACCTTGCAGGAATCAGCAGGTGGCAGCAGTCAGCCAACCTTGAATTATCTCAAAAAAGATCAGCAGTGTTAGGCGTGATCTGTATTTGGATGGAAAATCTCCAGATTGGCCTGGGAAAGAAGGTTGGGCAGCCATTTGTCTGACATGTTATAGAGTTTCCTGCTTGAGCAGAGGCTTGGTGATGACCCGGAGCATGGCACAAAGGCAGGGCAGGAGCAAGAATTCCAGATGTGAAGGCACAGCAATAACTCAACACGGTTGGGAGCATGCCAGGAACGCAGATAACCAAAGTCAACACAAGATAAACTCACGTTTGTTCCCAGCACGCGCTGCACTCAGCATGCATTTCTTTTAAACTCTCATTCCCATCTGTGGCTAATGAAGGGAATCAGGGCCCTTTCCTCCCCTGTAAGCCATGCAACCCACATTGCTCTCTCCTCTGTTCCTCCCTGCGTGCCCTAGGATAAAGAGGGGGTGGGCCTGGGTCTTCCTCTGAACTTCCTCTCCCTTGTTCTACCTCTTCCCTGCTCTGCCCAGCCGGAATTTGCTCTTTCCTCCACAGCCAACAGAGCCACACTCCCGCTCCCTGTCAGCTGTTCGTCTTCCTCCTCGGATTCAGACTCCGACAGGGGCAGGACACTAGAAGACTTCCAAGGTCCCTTCCAACTTCGTTATTCCGTTATCTAGGCACCTCTTGTTCCTGGAGTCTTTCCTGTTTTTGGATTGCGGTCTTTCCCAATCGCTTACACTCATCCTTTCATTGACCTTGATTGAACAATGGAACAGTCCTGGATTCATTTATTACTTTGAGGATGTCCCTTCCAGGATTTGTCAACATCCTCTCAAGGAGACTTAAAAATGCAGGGTGGATTCCAATAAGATCATGACACAGAGATATCAAATGGCAGTTCCAGAAGCAGACAGTGACCAAATGACAACTTAAACCTAACTTATTCGCTTCTGAATTTTATCTTGGGGAGAAAATAGATCTGCTGCATGTATTTATTTAGCAGGTTTTAAAAGGGTGTGTCGTATTTAATTTTCCATCACCCTAAATTTGTATTCAGGCGATCCTCGACTTACAGCCACAATTGCGACCAGAATTTCCATTGCTAAGAAAGACAGTGGTTAACTGAGTCCCGTCAGATTTTACAACCTTTTTTTTGCCACGGTTGTGACGCGAATCACTGCAGCTCTTAAGTGAATCACATGGAAACAATGAATTGACAGTCACTACAAGACATCTTGAAGACGTATTTTTGCTGCACGTCCTACTGAGATCATCCATGTCCTTGACCCTTGATGCCTTTGAAGAATGGCAAATGATCACTCCTTTGGGGTAAAGGGTAAAACAATTTTAGCTGGGTGACATGATAGCGGTCTTCCAATATTTGAGGGGCTACCACAAAGAGGACAGGGTCAAGCTATTCTCCAAAGCACTCGAAGGCCAGACAAGGAATAATGGATGGAAACTGATCCAGGAAAGATTCAATCTGGAAATAGGGAGGATTTTTCTGACAGTAAGAACCATTAGCCAATGGAACAGAAGTTGCCTTCAGAAGTTGTGGGAGCTTCATCACTTGAGACTTTCAAGAAGACAGTGGACAACTATTTGGGTAGAATAGAATAACAGAGTTGGAAGGGACCTTGGAGGTCTTCTAGTCCAACCCCCTGCCTAGGCAGGAAACCCCACTTTGGACAAATGGTTATCCAACATCTTTTTTAAAAACTTCCAATGTTGGAGCATTTACAACTTCTGCAGGCGAGTTGTTCTGATTAATTGTTCTCCCTGTCAGGAAATTTCTCCTTAGTTCTAAGTTGCTTCTCTCCTTGATTAGTTTCCACCCATTTCTTCTTCTCCTGCTTTCAGGTGCTTTGGAGAATAGATTGACTCCCTCTTCTTTGTGGCAGCCCCTCAGATATTGGAACACTATCATGTCTCCCCTAGTCCTTCTTTTCATTAGACTAGACATACCCAGTTCCAGAATGGTGTAGGGTCCTCCTATTTGAGCAGCGGGTTGGACTAGATTTATTTTATTTATTTATTTATTTATTTATTTGATTTGCCAATTGTTTACAAGATAATGTATAAGTGTATAGATGGTTGTGAATATATGAAATGGGTACATATAAGAAAAATAAAAGAATAAGAGAAACAATAGGACAGGGACGGTAGGCACGTTGGTGCGCTTATGCACGCCCCCTACAGACCTCTTAGGAAAGGGGTGAGGTCAATAGTAGACAGTCTAAGGTTAAAGTTTTTGGGGTTTGGGGAAGAGACTACAGAGTCGGGTAGAGTATTCCAGACATTGACCACTCTATTGCTGAAGTCGTATTTCCTGCAACCAAGTTTGGTGCGGTTTACTTTGAGTAAACCGCACCAAACTTGATTTACTTTGAGTAAAAACTTGATTTACTTTGAGTAAAAAAGTGCGGTTTACTTGTAGATGACCTACAAGGTCCCTTCCAACTCTGTTATTCTGTACTCTGTTTAATCTTTCCAGTGGAGGAAGCTGTCCGTGCCATCAAGACGTTACGCAGCAAAAAAGCAGTGTTGGCGAAGAAACGTCAAGTGATGCGCCTGATGTTCGGCGACTACCGAGCAAAAATGGCAGAGGAAAGGCAGAAGCAGCTGAAGCTCTTGCAAGCAGGTCGGGAGAAAGGGGCTTTTTATTTTTTATTTTTTTTATCCCAGTTTTATTATTTTATAGGTAGGGAACAGGTTGCAAGTTGGAAACGGCCTTCAAATATAAATGATTTGTTTGTTTGCATCCCACTTTATTTATTTTTTTAAATAACTCAAGGCAGTGAACATATCCAACACGCTTTCCTCCATAACAACAACCCTGTGAGGTGGGCTGAGAGGGGGGGGGACTGGTGCAGAGTTATCCAGCTGGCTTTCATGACTAAGGCGGGATTAGAACTCACCGTCTCCTGGTGATTGGCTCAAAGTCACCCAGCCGGCTTTCATGACTAAGGCGGGATTGGAACTCAGTCTCCTGATGATTGAACCAAAATCACCCAACCTGTGTTCATGGCTAAGGTAGGACTAGAACTCACCATCTCCTGGTGATCGACCTAAAGT